GGTGGCTTCACACAGAACGCTGTGTTCTGCTGATGGAAAGCTTGACGTGTAACACGTAACATGTAACATGATAACATGTCATATCATCACATGCACCAGCTGCTAATTAACAGGAACTTTTAGCAATAAGGATTCGGATTTAGTTCCGTTAGTTTTCCTGTAACGTGAAGGACCAATAACACGTGACAGGAAGTGACTCTTGTCATTCTCAAACATTTGGTAACTTTTTCGCCTCCTCTTCTTTTATCGTCTCTCCCCTAAAACAAAGCCCTCATAACTCTTCCTCCCCATCGGCGTACTGTGTAACGCCCACGTACCTTAATCTCAAACCCAAGAAGAAGCCTGATTACCTCCTGCTGCCTGGACCAATCAGAGAGCAGCACCGGGCCGGCGGGGCGTAATGTGCGTTATTATTATTCCTGTTGCCGGCTCCTGATAAGTGGACCGGGCCCTTGAACCGCCGAGTGCTTCTCTGAATATACTGCTGCTGGTTTTATTCCCCCCGGTGGATCCCTGTCACCTCAGTCATGCCCCCCCCACGTTTTATACTCCCGTCCCGTGTTATTTATCCACCGCAATTTCCCCTCGGTGGAGCGCACGGCTAATGCCGAGTTTTAATATGTTATTTGCACATAAAAAACAAGCTATTTACAGCACGCGTGTGCGCAGACGGCAGGAAAACGAATGCCCCCCCCGGCACCCCCCCGACTCCGATCTGTTGTATCGCGGTTTAACAATCTGGATGGCTAATAGAACCATTTATCACGGCGCCGCCGTCGGTTCCTCGGCCCCAGAGGCCTGTGGAAATGCAGACAGAGTCACTTTGTTTAAAGGAGTGGATCCGACACGCGGGGACTCAATTAAGGGACGGACGCAGGTGGCTCCGGTCACACGCGGAGCCGCTCCAACGGGACATAAAAAGAACCTCTGGCACGCCCTCTTTCTTGGGGGGGGGGGGGGGATTGACAAAAAAAAACACCTACGAAAACACCCATCCGAAACTGCTTCTCTGTCAGTTGGGATTCAAATCCAATTTCAGAGTGCGGAAGTGCTGAGAAGATTCCACGGCGTTACTAGCAGAGCGCTCTGCTGACCCCCCCGCTTCCCACTCACATAAAGACTTTTCTTTAAATCCCATCGCTTAAATGGAGAGTTATTGCTTCTCCCCCCAGAAAACCACCCTTCTCTTCAAGGCGGGGGCAGGTCGGGATACCCATCGGCTCCCCCCGGCCACCCCCCGGCTGGCTCCGCCTCGACGATACGTTGGGACTGGAAGTCTTCCATTTGGACTCCATCGGAATTCACCTTATGGACACAGAAAACTGTTCAATGATGGCCAGAAAAGCTCGGTGTGGAGCACGTCTTGGCTTTTCTTCCTCTGCTAACTTCCTCAAATCGCTACATCTATCAAGCCCGAGCCTAAGTGGGGTCCTTCCCGACCAAAGGAAAAGAAAGAATGTGAACCTGGATGCTTTGAGCGAGATGCTCCCAGAGATCTCCTCTTTGAAAAAAGGAGCTTCCTCAGAAACATTCCGCTGCGTCCGAGACGTCCTCGCCCCGTTTCATCTCACATGTGGACCTTTCCTCACGTCAGCTCTATTTATAGAGCCGCTGTAGATTACTGGATGAACAGTGTGTGGCCTCGTGGCTCTTTGAGAGGAGTCATTAAGGGAGAGGAAACATGGCCTAGATATTCCACCAGGAACACTTCTTACATGGGCAGCGTCCTCACACTTCAAATGGCTTTTATTCAAAATCACCTCACAGGTGCTCATAAATCAGTCAGGGACGAAGCAGCCAAAGCTTGAGGCCTTTTGGTGTTTCCTTCCGTTAATCCTCATTTGTGGTCACTGAAAAGAACATCGTCTACGGAGGTCTTTAACACAGAGATAATGCTGTGAGGTCACACGGCTTCCTGCTTCACGTCCTCGGTAGATCACTGGCTAAACTGTTGAACGTGTGCCGGACTGTTCAGCACCGAACCTCCCAGAGGAACTTCAGATAAGTTAAGACCCTGAGCAGGAGGCCGAGGACGAACTGTACCTATAACAGTTTGGGGCGCGCTAACGAAGACTCCCGTCAGGACCTCAAACACACCAGTCTGAATGAGTCTGAGCGAGTGGTTTGAAGCAACGTTAGTTGGGTTTGTAGAGTTTAGCCACGTGTGAGCCGATTTAAAAACCAGGAATGTCAGCAGCTGCTCAGCTCATAATTATTCCAACAAGCCAACAAACGTCAGGTGATTCACGCTAGTTTTGACTGGTCTCACCGCTCATCTCCGGTCCGGTACAACGGGGACAGCAGATGGAAATCCGCCTCTCTGGCTCACTTACAGCTGGATGGGTGTGCATTGTCCTGCAGAAGACATGAACAAAAGCATTTAACAACACAGAGACGACGTGTCTCACGTGAGGTCCTGCAGCTCCTCACGGCGCTCAGTGAAATGAGAGGACGCACACTAATTGCCTTGTGAGTGTTGCAGAAAGCAGCTGGAGATTAGCAATAACGGCTAATTAGCCCGAGTGGTGGAAACCAAAGCCGGCGCGTGAGGACAAACACGCAGTGGGATGAATCCTTATTGAGTCACGCGTTGTGTTTCAAACCCACGTCTGCAGCACAGGGCGGAAACGCTGGCCTCATACACACTGGGACGGACCAGGGGCCCCATTGGCGCCACGCTGAGGGCCAACGGAAGCACGAGGGCCTCGATAAAAAGAGCGAGGAGCTATATGAACGAGCTAAGGATCATTTAAAGAACTTTAATAATTAGAATCCAAATAACAGTCCCTTCTTTTTTCATCTCTTTATTCAATTGGAATATTTTATTGGGCAACTAACTCTCTTAAAAGTGATCTTAGAGGTGGATGGAGGAGTAAAGTGCAGATGTTACTCCTTGTGAGTCCTAATGAAATGGGGCAGGAGCTCCTGCAGAGGTCTTCTGGTTTCCTCCTTTAACCAGGAAGGAAAAAGGCTTCGCCCACCGGCTCCTGGAGGAGGCAGCATGTACACCGTCGGGGGCCGTGGGTGTAGCGAGTGTCTCCGTCGGCTCCACCACAGCAGGCGCTGTCAGAGGAAGGCATCCAGCGGTGGGACGTGATGAAGGATTCTTGGCATCGATTGAAAGCACTCACAGATTCTCACTCCTTTCTCCTCTTTTTGACCAGAGGCGTCACCACGGTAACGATGAGGGGGACCGTGGAGACATGTGGGCGTGTTCATACGTCTCCAGCAGGTTCATAAACACTCGTCCCACAGCGTAGCATTACAAGCTAATAGCTCTGGCAGACTAATTGCGCTCGCGATGTGCTCCGTCTTGGTGGCGTTTGCTCGAGCTAATTGGCCACCAAACCAGGCCAGCCGGGCCAGAACCGGGTCAGGAGAGATCTGCATGTTAGTCATTAGAGAGGAACTTCATACTTCATCTCCTTTGGACTTTTTAAAGTTCCTCAAACATTTCATTTCTCCCCTAATGAAGAGCTTTGTCCTCCTAACCGGCCCTCTTTTCCAGAGGCTGAATAGTGAGGGTCAGAGGTGGAGGAGGTGGAGGAGGTGGAGTCACTAAAGGCAATCTAGTCCTGTTCCCGCTGAGTTCAGGTCCTATCGAGCTGAGCAGGCCTGTACTTCTCCTTTAAAGCCTTAGACAGTGTCTTTAATAACTTGACCTTTGATCTCATGACGTATGTGACAAGTGCCGAGTCGGCCTCTGGAGAAGTCTGAACTTAGACATAAACACACACATACATATATATATAAATCTATATATATATACATATATATATATCCAGAGAAAAAGATCCACATCTTGTCATTTCCTCTCCAAGTGAGGGGAGCTCTGCTCCTCGGCTCCTCGGCTCCTCAGCCGGCTGTGAGCCAGAGCTTCTGCAGGTTGGACAACATTCAGCCGAGGGAGTCCTCCAGAGACCGGCTCTCCATCACCCGGGTCACTAAATAGAGACGGTCCTACTTCAGCAGATTGAGGCAAGCAGCCAAGCACGATGGACACGGGGGGGATGGGGGGGGGGGTTCCTGCTGCCAAGCATTCATCAAACCCACGAAGAAGAAGCAGTGCATCGGTCAAGGGAGTCCCTCCGCATCCTCTCTGCCGCCTCGTGGAGGAGCAGGATTCTTCCGGAGAAGTGGGTCTTTGGGGGCCCCCTCAGCAGGGGGGCAGCGGGGTAATATGGATGCTGGGTAGCGCGCTGACAGCCCCGGAGGCGACTGTTTAATTCACTGTGTTTTAATTATGGCGCCCTGACACGAGCCTTTATCACGGGGCGGCCAAGCAGATACTAAACTCTGCTTTAAGGTACTTACATAATGTGGACAAACCCATCAATCAATCAGCCCATCGATCAGCCCATTGATCAGCCCATCAATCAATCAGCCCATCAATCAGCCCATTGATCAGCCCATCAATCAATCAGCCCATCAATCAATCAGCCCATCAATCAGCCCATCAATCAGCCCATCGATCAATCAGCCCATCAATCAATCAGCCCATCGATCAATCAGCCCATCAATCAATCAGCCCATCGATCAATCAGCCCATCAATCAATCAGCCCATCGATCAGCCCATCAATCAATCAGCCCATCAATCAATCAGCCCATCAATCAATCAGCCCATCGATCAGCCCATCAATCAATCAGCCCATCGATCAGCCCATCAATCAGCCCATCAATCAGCACATCAATCAGCACATCAATCAGCCCATCAATCAATCAGCCCATCGATCAATCAGCCCATCGATCAATCAGCCCATCGATCAGCCCATCAATCAGCCCACCAATCAGCCCACCAATCAGCACATCAATCAGCCCATTAATCAGTCCCCCCCCCCGACGCCGCCGTCTCTGGACCCTCGCAGTCTGTGAAGGGCCTTCGTGAAATAACAGATTCCTCGGAAGGTGATGGAGGTGATGGTTCTCAGGAGATGATGCTCCTCGGAAGATGATGCTCCTCGGGAGATGATGCTCCTCTGGAGGTGATGATCGTCGGGAGATGATGCTCCTCGGAGGTGATGCTCCTCGGGAGGTGATGCTCCTCGGGAGGTGATGCTCCTCGGGAGGTGATGCTCCTCGGGAGATGATGCTCCTCGGGAGATGATGCTCCTCGGGAGGTGATCTGGTAAATGTGTCTCCTGAACTCTGGTGAGTGGTCACCTTTTGTTCTTCCAAAACAATCGGGCTGCGGGGTGATGGAGGAGGACTTGTGCGGGCCAACATGTCCAAAGAGGAAGAAGAACATGAGCTTCAGAGACCAGAGACATTAAATGGGCTTTAATACAATTTGTACTTTGTTTTTATTTGAATCCCTTTATTGTTTTCAATGAATTGTGTTTAAATCTCAAAAGTACTTCTTCCTCCTGTTGTACTGCAGTGATTTAATGAGCGACTCGCCTTCAGAATAATAAATATTAAAGATATTGAAATTACTGAACAGTGCATTTTCTCCTATTTTGAGACATTAAACCTCCGACCCGAGCCCGTCCTGACGGGGCAATTTCCATTTTTGGGGGGGCGTCAGGCCTGGCTGCCCTCCTGGAGACCCGCCGAGGGGCACAGAGGCTATTTGTGTCCCTCCCCCTGTCAGACAGAGTGAGAGCAATGGACCTGGACTGCTGACTCACTCGGGTCCGGGGCCCCCGGGAGCCCACGAGCCCCCCGTTGTCCCCTCCCTTCCAGCGCTGGGACCCAGGAGCATAATGATCCGTGGCCCCCCGACCCCTCTGCACCCCGCTGCCCCCACCAGGAGAATCCTCCAGACGGAGTCATGTGACACCAGAGGAATTTTAATGTGGTCCGTGGATCATCTCCTCCTCCTCCTCCTCTCTCCTCTCCTCATCTCCTCCTCCTCCTCCTCCTCCTCATCCTCGCCTCCTTCTCTCCTCTAGCCTTAAATGTCAGGTGTTCATCTCTTAATCAGAAGCAGATTTCCTGTTTCTGCATCATGAGACTTGATCACTTATGAAGAAGAACACAATGTTTTGGGCTCTTTTAAATAATCAATAACTTTGATTCATAGTGACTTTTCTCTGCACCTGTGATGATTGGATCATTTAACCAGAGGCTCTAATGAAAGCAAAAACAGGCCGTTGCATCATGGGAGATGTAGGCTGTTTCTTGGAGCTCAATCAGTAACAACCAGAACCCGTTTTGAGGGTGTGTTTGATTTGCTCCTCTGGAGGCGGAGCTTCGGTTGAGTCGGTCGGGAACAGGAAGTAATCTGCTGAGGTTCTTCCTCAGGAGATGAGGAGCGGATTATTTATTCAAACGTCCTGTTATTGTTTGAAACATCTTCAAGCTCTTCTTCTGTGCTTTTGTCTTCCAGCCACCCACCACCTCTTCCCCACCTTCCAGCCCCCCCTCCCCATCGACATGCGGCACCACGAGGGACGCTACCACTACGAGTCCCACGCGCTGCACGCCATGCACGGGTAGGTGGCCTCGCTTCCTCCTCCTCTGTGAGCAGGGAGGAGACAGGAGAGAGAGGAGAGGAGCCTCTGAGCAAGGCACTTTCCGCCCTGAACTCACATCATCATAACAAGACAATAAATTAATAAATGAAAAGAGAAAATCTTTAGATTAAACCACATTTAAAGAATACATTATAAAGAATTTCAACAGATGAATAACAGCTGAATACTTTTTTGACAAATCCTCACCTTCAGGGATCAACTCAGAGACTTTTGTTGTGCAGCGGTTCATCGTGCACGTGAACACATGAACGGTGCACGTGGCCGGGTGGTGCACACGCACCCAGCTCACTTCCACCTCTCCCCTCCGATAATAAAGCCCCATAAATCAACCCTTAACACGCTCCATTAGCAGCGATCGGCAGCGCCGGATCCATCAGCGATGACATCACAGGCCGAGCCGCCTCCCCCTTCTCTTCGGTAATGGCTGCTTGTGGGAGCTAATCTGTGCGGTGCAGCTCTGCCCCGAGCCAGCGCTGTAATTACACTCCCGGAGTGGAGGGTTCACAGCTACACACACGCCAAAATACCGCTACACACGCACCTCGCTACACACACGCCAACATACCGCTACACACTCACCTACGACACTGCAGCACACCCCAACACACACACACACACTATACTTTATACTTTACGTCTTATAGGTTACGTCTTATAGCTTACGTCTTATACTTTACTATACGTCTTTGTTTACGTCTTATAGGTTACGTCTTATAGCTTACGTCTTATAGCTTACGTCTTATAGCTTACGTCTTATAGCTTACGTCTTATAGTTTACGTCTTTGTTTACGTCTTTGTTTACGTCTTATACTTTACGTCTTATAGTTTACGTCTTATAGTTTACGTCTTATAGCTTACGCCTTATAGTTTACGTCTTATAGCTTACGTCTTATAGCTTACGTCTTATAGTTTACGCCTTATAGTTTACGTCGTATAGTTTACGTTTTATAGTTTACGTCTTATAGTTTACGTCTTATAGCTCACGTCTTATAGCTTACGTCTTATAGCTTACGTCTTATAGTTTACGTCTTATAGCTTACGTCTTATAGCTTACGTCTTATAGCTTACGTCTTATAGCTTACGTCTTATAGCTTACGTCTTATAGCTTACGTCTTATAGTTTACGTCTTATAGCTCACGTCTTATAGCTCACGTCTTATAGTTTACGTCTTATAGCTTACGTCTTATAGCTTACGTCTTATAGCTTACGTCTTATAGCTTACGTCTTATAGCTTACGTCTTATAGCTTACGTCTTATAGCTTACGTCTTATAGCTTACATCTTATAGCTTACATCTTATAGTTTACGCCTTATAGTAAATCTTATAGCTTACGTCTTATAGCTTACGTCTTATAGCTTACGTCTT